GACAATATTAAATTACTCTTCAAATATGACATTTCATGCATCCATAATCAATGTGAAAAGATAAGAATAAACACTCAACTTAATTTTGGCTCAAAGTTTTATTAAAGCAGATTTTTTTTCTTAATCTCACGTTACACATTTGCTTCAACCATCTCTTAAGCCTTTGAGACCTAAAGTTCCTTTTGTCATTTGAAATTTTAAACTTGTATCAACGTTTTGTGTGTGATACAACATGAAATAAATGTTGCCTGTCTTATCAATGAAAAATTGAACTTACCGTATTTTTCACACTATAAGGCACACTTAAAATTTTCTCAAAAATAGACAGTGAGCCTTATAATCAGGTGCGCCTTCTGTATTAACTCTGGTTGTGCTTACTGGCCTCGAACTGATTTTATGTGGTTATTGTGAATGAGTTGAATAAAGTTTGACTTATCTGACTGTTTTGTTTCACTTAATGTGCCTTATAATCCGTTGTGCCTTATAGTTTGAAAAATACGGTAAGCATTTATGTAAAAAAAAAAAACGATGTTACAAGTTGCAGCTCTTTATTTGACATTTAAATTCAGTCAGCGATTCAGGCTCGCCAGTTGTGCTCTTTCACTGCACATCTGTTCCACCAATCACAGCCTGGCATGCTCTCTTCACACTTTTTCATCACAAGTTCATCATCATAATTGTCAGCGCTGACTGTGCTCATGTGGGTGTGTGACTCCGCGTTCATATTCCTATGATTTAGAAAACCGTGCTGCCGTGACAAAGTGCTGTTTGTTTTAGATTAGCGCTGGTTATGTTTTGCCATCTGTGGTTAAATTCCTGTTCTGTTCGGAGAAAATCGGTCATCAAGTCTGATGGAGAACGCTCAGATTTTTTTCAACACGCAGCAGTTCTGTGGGCACAGCTGTTACGGTAAAAAAAAAAAAAAGAGCTATCAAAACCTCTGTCTCAGTCTGATGCTACAAAAACTCTCATACTCTAGTCACCCCAGAGTCAATATGCTGCTGGGCACACACGCCCCGCTGCATGAGAACAAAGATGGGACCGCATCAAGAGAGGAGATCAATAGTGAAAATGAAGGAAGATGAAAACACCAGGCCAACATCCAGAACAAAAGAGAAACCGTAATCAGATCTAACATTCTTTTCCTTGGATTCACAACAAACATAACATTTTACACACCGCTAAGAGGTGGAAAGCTCATCTTCTTCAACACAACCTCATGCAATCACAAAGAAGAAAGGCAAAACTGTACAACTCCATAAATTCAAAGAAAACCTCATTTTAAATAAACACATGTGCTCCGTCTGTCCTCCGCTCCGTTAGTCTAGAGGTCAGAACCACGCACTCCAACAGCAAAATGCCCACGCATTCAGAAACACTTCTATTAATTCTGTCGCTAAATTTACATTCACTTTTTGGTTCAAGATTTGAATTTCAAATGTGGACCTTGGCCGCTCCGAATGTTAGCAGCACAAGCGGTGCCAAAAAGTAATTTATTCCTGAAACAACCGTATCTTTAAATGACATAAAATTGCTTCCTCGGGACTTTAAATTCTTGAGTCGCTCAGCGTGTGCTGTATGCATAATGTTCTTTAAAGCAAACTGAACTAAAGGAGAGTCAGCTGAAAGGAGGAGGATTTCCACAGCAAGATCTATTTGTCATTAATTAACTTCTTTGTTGTTTTTTTTTAAATAATTACAATATGTTAATTTCTAGAATCTGTCTGCTTATGGCTCTTTATCTGAAAGCTGCTTTATAAAATATTCTGGGCTTATGAAGATGTTACTGTTAGTACACAAAAATAACAAAGAAAGTTAATTCAAACTAAGCCCATTCAGTGAATTATTTTGTTAAGTAATACAAGAGGAGTTAGAGGAAGTAGATAAGTTGAATTTGTTGACTTCATGAGCTCTGTTTAGTCTGCATGCGTGTTATTCACCAACAGATCTGAGGTCCAGGACAGATGTCAAACAGCAGCTGTAGCTTCCTCCAGACCAGGGAGGATTCATGGATATGTTGTAATATTGGTATTTGATTAAATCAAGTTGGTCAAAAATGTAACGGTGTGAATGCTCATAAAGCATTCACACTGTTGTGATCCATTTTTCTTCCATACATTTGTTGGCATCTTTCTCATTCCACAATTTTTGTGCTATTTCAACAAATCATAGATCAAAAAGTTCAGCTCCTTCAGGAGAAGGGTGCTAAGACTTTTGGTATTGGTGCAATTTTAGCTTTTTGAAATATTTAGCCTTTTCTGCCATTTTTGTCTCATAGGAAATGAATTGAGCTCATTTTACCTCCTTTAAATCATTAGATGTGTTTAAAACCTTTTACTGCTCCTTTCACATTTTGTTCTGGTTCAGTTTCTTTCAGCTTCCGTGTGCAAATTTAAACTTATTTCAGCTACTTTCAGCTAATTTCAGCTGTTTTTCAGCTGTTTTGTGATCCTTTCAGATTCTTTCTGCTAACTACAACATTTTTGTACTTCTTCTATAACTTCAGCTTACTGTATTTTCCACCATACACATCGCACCGCCCTATTAGTCACATCAGTCCAAATATATCTAATAAAGTAGAAAAATCCATAAATATGTTGCTTCGCCGTATACGTCGCATCTATTATGCGTCACCGCTTACGCGTCATGTTTGTTTCGCGTCACCGCTGACAACTCGGAAATGTGGGCTGAACCTGGACGTGTGGGCCGGTGTTGTGCCAAAAAACGATTGGCTGCCAAACGGTGGGAGTGTGCACGGGATTTAACTAGATTAACACTTAAAAACAATTATTTGTATGCTCAAAATTATAGTAAAGGTGTGTCTAAGTTGAACTTTTACTTAATAAATGCACTTTGATGGTCAAATCAGCTGCATTTTCAAAAGCCGATACGCGGATACATGAACGTGCAGAGGGTGACTTGGTCCATTTCTTTGAAATTTAACAAGATAACCACCTAAAAACAATTACTTATTAGCTCGACTTTATAGTAAAGATGCGTCACAGTTGCGCTTTTACTTAATAAATGCACTTTGACGGCCAAATCAGCTGCATGTCACCGGGGTGGCACAGCAAAATGAAGCTGGTTCGGTTGCTGCAGGTAGACGACGATGACAGTCTGTTGCCATCCGATTTTGTCATTAATAGCCCCTTTTACCTATTACATGATACAACGGCATGCCTTACACCTCGAGTGTCATCTAGCCGCTGAAAATGATCGTATTCAATATTTTCAGTCAGAATGAATAAAAATGGTCATAGCTCAGCCAAAATCTGGTTTATAAATATGGTTAAAAAAACATGAATATGTCGCTTCGGACTACAAGTCACAGGGCATGTAAATTATGAAAAAAAACGCGACTTATACAGTGAAGAATACAGTATGCTCCTTTCAGCTTTTTCTGCTATTTCAGCTACTATTTAGTTGTTTTATGCTAATTTCAGCTTGTTATGCTCCTTTCGGCTTATTTATGCAAGCTTCTGCTTTTTCTGCTATTTCAGCTACAATTTAGCTCTTTTTATGCTAATTGTAGCTTTTTCAGCTAATTCCACAATTCTTTAGCTCACTTCAGTTCTTTCCACTTCCTTCAGGTAGTTTAAGCTCCTTTCTGCCTTTTCAGTTACTTTAGCTATGCTCCTAATGTTTGTGCTTATTTCTGCCTATTTAAACCTAATTTAGCAAATATGTGTTCTTTCTGCTTTCTTCTGCTAATTTAGGCTTGTTCTTCCATTTCAGATACATTTCAGACTTTTTTTTAGCTAATTTCAGCTGCTTTTCTGCAAGTTCTTCTGCAATAAGCATGCACACTGCATTTTCACAGGAAATGCAATTTATCTAGTTATTTTAGAGTTCATTATTCTATTCTTAAATGTAGTTGTTTTTTTTCTAAACTCAGTTTTCCTAAAGGTGTTATCTCACTGGGATGCTGCGACTATAGGTGGCGAACAACAATCATGAGGGAGTCTCCAGGATGTGATGAGACTTTTGTGGAGTTATCAATTTTCTCACAAGAGTTGCAAAGGCACACAGACAGATATCTGGACATGTTCCAAAAAATAAAATAAAATAAAATAAAATAAAATAAAAAACAGCTACAAATTTTCTCTGAAAAACAGTTAGAGAGTTGTTTCGAGGGAGTTCAATTCATCTCCAACTCACCTAAGTTTTGCTGTGGGGCTTTTGGATAAGTCTTGAGCAAACGAGCATATTAACTCCCACACAGGAGCTCTCCTTTGAGAAAATAATTACAAGACAAATGTTCAGAACTAAAAACTAAATAGAAAATAAATAATAACTACTGAAAAATTGGTCCAAATCTGACTGTGGTCTTTTCTAAAGTATCCTCCAGCAGATTAAATCATAAAAGTGGGGCGTTGCTGAGGTGTGTTCAAAGCAAGCCAAGGAGTACGATGCGAGCAACAATGTTTTGTGCACAGCCAAAAACGGGCTGTGATTTTTATCAAATCATTGCACAACATGTGGCCACGCGACTCACTGGTCACTTGGTCTCAAACACTCAGAATTCAGTGAGATTATAATAGAAATTTTTTATATTTTCTTACTATTTTTCCAGAATTTTACCTATCTACCAATGACAACCACATCCCAGTGAAATACCACCCTGCATCTTGATGTTAAATATAATCCTAAAATACCATAGGATTATGTTTAACATCATTAAGTGCAATAAGATAATATAGTAAATTAAAATGCTTTAAAAATGTCACATTCAATTTGAAATTATACCATACCTAATAGTGTGTGCATGCTTTCTATCTAATATCTGCCTTCTGTATGATGTAAAAATGTCTTTTTGAATAATTAAAATATATTTTTAAAACTACCATCAGTTTCTGATTCAAATGATTTGAAGTCAATCTTTAGTATTTTTCATGCATCCATGAAGCCACCCAAGGTTAGAGACAAGTATTTTACCGAACAGCTCTTTTTTCAACATATGGACATCACGATCTGTAGGAAATAAAAGGCGGGGGTCCTACCTTTGATGCCAAACTTGGAGTTGCCTCCAAACCTGAGAATAACCAACATGAGCAGGAAACCAGTGAAGGCGACAGCAGCAATGCCCACCACCACGTACACCTGCCGAACAACAAAAGCAAAGTCATCACTCTAGTGGTGAGGAAAGATGATAGATGGAAGTAAAGCTTAAAAAATAATGTGTAGCACAATAAAAAAGATGCACGCCAAAAGGCTACACATGCTCAGGGAGAGAATTTATAGAGCTGCTAAATTAGAAATTTGTTGAGATCATCCAAATAAATCCGATATTAAGACATAAACTATGATGCTATAAATAAACAAATAAACAGCAGCGAAAAGCAACAGAAACTGTCAGAAACACAGCTGTGGTTAAACAGTGAGACTTACAGCGACTCTGTCCTCAGGTGGCTCCGCAGGAGGAGTGTCTGAATCAGAAAACAAACGACAGTAAAAACCTCATCTGTGAACTGGTTTATTCCATGTGTCATCTTTTTTGAGTGACAATGCATGGCATACGCCTTATTAAGTAGCTAATTAAGTATTTCCAGAGGTTGGAACAGTACTAAAATACATGTAATTAAGTAAAGTATATAAGTAAAACGCAGTTACTGTGTTGAAATTGTGCTCGAGTACAAGTAAAGTTATTTGTGTAAAAATCTATTAAAGTAAAATAAAAAGTAACTCAGTTAAATTGTACCTGAAATAAAAGTTTCTTGGTTACCTATGTTTACAGTAGGATTGTGTTAATTGTGCAAAAAAGACAAAGATTTGTTTTTTTATTATTATAATTTTTATTATTTTTTTTTCATATAAGTATTTAAGTTAAAATGCAGGTTTTACAAATTATTGTACAACAAAATCGTTTCCACACATGATGCAGAATCTGAGGAAGTTTATCTGCTGGTTCTCAGGTAATGTGCCATAAAATGCATGCTGGTCGAGTTTTGCTTCATGCCAGAGGACGAACCAGCGCGGTGGAGTTTGGTTTGATTTAACAGAAAAGCTCCACCTTATCACTCATGATTGTCATCATTATTTTCATAATTCATTAATTGATGCTGATGATCCATGCTGCTGATCTCATGCTGCTGATCTCATGCTGCTGCATTCATCCGTACTCATCTGCTCACACAGACTAATGTGTTAGTGTGTTTCTTAGTTTACGTCTTAGATCCTTGTTGACTGTTTCTTTTTACACTTTATATTTTCACTATTGCTGGATGTAACTGGGACCCTGTGTACACAACTTTGTTCCACCTCATGTACCACATGCGATGTAAATGACAATAACTTGAACTTGATTCATTTGTCACACTTATGGTCCTGAATTTGATTTCCATTAACATTTTTTACTCCGTAATAAATCTGGTTTGGCTGCAACACATCTTTAAAACAAAATATACTTGAGTAGTGTAAAGTATAGACTTTTTTTATACATAAAACTCCAAAATACACAAAAATACTACTCAAATATTATATTCACCAGTAAATGTAATTTGTTAATTTCCACCTCTGCTTAGATTTACCTTAACATTGTTTGTGTGATTTTGCTACTGAAGTTGCTCTAAACAAGAACGTTGTGACTGAAAACTAGATCATGAAGCAAAAGCTAACTGGACGTGTAGCAAATGTTATTAAATTTGTGTTGGTTTGAGTGGAAGAAAAAAAAGTAGGAGTACCTGGAGTTACTTCAACTGCTGGAGCGTGTTGAAGGAAACAGAGACACATTAGAGCCAAAACAAAAAAGTATTTCAGTGACATCTTTTGACATGTGGTACGTCACAACTAACCCCATCACGCATGCCTGTTCACATAGACACACACGGGACATTACACAAAGACCACACACATTTAACATGCATAACATCTAACAGAAAATAACATCTGGAAGACAGAGTGAAAAAACTATTGTTTGATAATTCACACAGTAGTTTGATAGAAAAAAGAGACGACTAAAAAGTAGGGATGCACGATATTGGATTTATTGGCCGATATCCGACATGCCAATATGTTAAAACTGATTTGGCCGATAACCAATACTGTTTTGTTTTGTTTTCTAGACCTACTTACAGAGACTACATAACTTTCTCTGCTGTGGAATTAAAATACTACATTATTCTGCATGGTCTTTGTCATTTGTCCTGCTACCAAATGCAGATGCCAAAAAGGAGCTGAAAATGATGCAACACTTAAACTTGGATTATGTTTAATGTCAAACTTATTCATGACATTTACTCTCTCTAACTCAATGACAACAAGAACAGTGCAAACTTGTAATTTTTCACAGATCTAAACTCAACCTGTTCACAAGCGACAAGTGAAAAGAGCGTAAGTAGTAGTGTATTATTAGATATACTTGACAGTTTCTTAAACTAAAAAATAACTTAAAACAGAAGCCCAATACGGGTTCATACAATATCAATGATCAACTCAAATCTCTATGAATTCTGCTATGTACAAATAAAATCAAAAGTGCAAAAAATACTGTCAGCTTATTTCCTTTGTCAGAACATAGTCCTCTTATTTAGGCTTATTTGCTACAAAATTGTGGAGCAGAACATGGGAAGTTCAAACGCAAAAAATGCCAAATACCATACACTACATTTTAGCAACAGCTCAAGTCCTCAGTGATAACACAGCCTGTCAAAAAAACAAAAAACAAACAGCACCTTTTATATTGGTGAGTTATTTTGATGGAATGGCCTGCGTCCAATATTTAACTTTATTGCTAATATTGGCCGATATCAATACCATGTCGATAATATTGTGCATCCCTAATAAAAACCTAAATGTTTATAGTTGTTACTTGATGAGGACATTTCTGAACACAAAGCAATTGTCTCTTATTTAACTAAAAATCAAGTCAATTTTTTAGATCAGTTTTACATTTGATTAAAAAAAACATTTTTTTTCACTTACGATAATAGTAAGGGTCCGTACTATCTGGTTCTTCTTATTGGGACAACAGAAAACAAACAAACAAACAAAATAAATTTAGATGTTCCATCATGCTGCAACAACAAT